CCCATCCCTGGAGGTATTTAAAAGACAGGTAGACGTGGTGCTTAGGGACATGGTTTAGTGGTGGAGGTGGCAGTGCTAGGTTAACGGTTGGACTTGATGATCTTGATGTGTCTTTTCCAACCTTAACGATTCTACGTTTCTATTCTGTGATTGTATAAAGTAAAAATGAAAATCCCTCTTATACTACTTGAAATGAAATTCAGAATTGAACATGTGACAAATCTTCAAACAGATACACAAAATTATGCAAGAGATTTACAATTCTAATGGTTTCCTTCCTTTAGTGAATGTGAGAGATATACACAAGCACCTTCTCTCCGTCCTTGTCATATTCATCATGATGTTCTATTTCTGGTTTCAATTACTTTCAGCAGTGAAGAGTGAGGAGATACATCAATTTATTTAGCAACTTGGTAACATTGAGGCCAAATTAAAAGACACAGTTATATGCAAATATATACATTGTGAGTGCACTTGAACCATAAATATGTTTTACATCTAGTCATGGCTGTAGTAATGTCTTTAAACTCTTTCCTTCCTCCACCCCCCAAATCCAGATTATAACAGACTTCACATCTATCAGCTAACAATTTCCCTGTTTTCCAATATTCCTTAAAATGATTTACTTTTCCCCCATCAATTCTAACATCTTTAGCAAAAGTTCTTTTTCCCCAAATTAATTTGGACTAGTTCCCCTAGCTTTGGAATAAGCATTGGAACAAACCCTTCAACCTGTAAAATCTAAACCAAATCCTCCAATACTTTGTGCATTTCCTAAATACTACATTCATTCCAGAAGAGGCAGTAAGGTAACTTGAATTTTTGCACACATGTTAATATTTGTGGGAGCAAAGGTAAAGTAGGCATGGTGTCCTCTATCCACCAGGGAACAAAGAGACACATCTACCTCACTGAAAAGCAGTAAGTGATGCTAATTATGTAATCGCTAATGCTAATGATTTTCCACTCTCCTTGAAAATTACCATTAATATTCAAGTAAATAATTAAGTGGTACTGAGAGTTTTCGGTTACTATGTTGTCCAGAAAAACTTGGAGGTAGCGAAGACTCAATTTATTAGAAGACTAGAAATGTGACAGCATGTCTATCCTGACTTGAAAGGCTGTATGCATCACTGTATTAATTTTACATCATTTCTGACAAAATAAATACAACGTATAACTTCTTGCTATTTTATTTTGAACAAACCCTCATAAAGCAAACCTGACCTAACACTGAAAATGTGTATCACACCTAGTAAA